CATGCACTGTGCACTGAAACTATGATCCCAAAGAAATACTTCCTCTCTTAAGTTATTTATTTCTGATAAGTAGTTGCAGCAATAAAAATTATGACTATTATAAATACAGACATACAAATACACTCACACTTATATCCTAATCATGGTCAATTTCCCTTGACAGTGTTGGTATGCTATTGTAAGGTTAATATACATTACATAAAATGGTATGAAATCACGTGAAGATAGTTGTGAAAAGTTTAATTTGTATATTGCAAACCCTAATAAGCCACTAAAATAACAAAACAAAGAATGATAGCCAACAGGAAAGAGAATAAATCATAAAACAAGATAAAGAAGAAAAGAAGAAAAATAAATAGGATAAGTAGTGAATAAATTACAAGATTTTAGACCTTAAATGATCTATTCAATAAACGCATTAAACTGAAAAGTTCCTAAAAGCAGTTAAAAAAGCAAAGTTTGTAAAATATGAGAACAAAAACATCCCTCAATGTGAGTATATTATGAATATATGAATGTAATTTATGTATGAAGACAAAAATGCACTAGAAGAGGATGCTTTGTGTTCTTGGAGTACAAAATAATTAAATCAAAAACATTAAAAAGAAATCTAGGAAATCTGCAAATAACTGGAAATTACACAACAAAATTCTAAACAGCTCCATGGACAAAGCAGAAATCAAAAGAAATTTTTAAAAATTTTGTGTGAATGAAAATTAAAGTACAATATTTGGTTAATGGGATCCTACTAAAGAAGTACTAAGAACTTTATTTATTAAATAAACAATTATTTTATAAAGAATAAGTGTCAAAATTTATATCTTCTGTTGTAGTATAAGTTACAAAAAGAAAAATACACTATACCAGAATGAGAAGAGTAATAAAAATAATAAAAACCAATCAATATCAAGGCAAAAATGAGATAAAACAGAAAATGAAACAAAATTTTGGTTGGTTGATTGATTCAATAACATTGATTAAAACTCTAGTCATACTGGACCAAAGCAAAGAAGATATTTCCAATATCATAGTATGAGAATGGCTATCACAACAAATTCTACAGATATTAAAAGCTAATAATGACATGTATGTAAATACAAAAATGATTCCTATTAAACTGCTCCAGGAACTGGGAGAGGAGGATGAGGGAGAGCAGCAGGAGAGGGTGAATTCAATCTGATACATTGTAAGAACCCTTGTAAATGCTACAATGTATCTCCACCCTGCACAATAATAAAATAATTTAAAAAGTGCTAATAAAGGAAATGTAAACAGCCATGCAAAACATCAATTGTTTGATAAATAATGATGTTTTTAAAAGATGGCTAAAATACATTTCATTGTAGTAGGTAGTTAAATGGCATTTAAATATATGAGAAGTTGCTCAACATAGTGTTTTATATGTTCATATCATTTAGAATGAGTAAAATTAAGTTGAAATTCCAAGTGTAGGAAAGAATAAATCTTAATGCTAACTCTCATTCACTTCTGGTGGTAATGTAGAAAAACAAAACTATTATGGAAAATTTTTTTTCAGATTCTTAGAAATTTAAATATACATATATATTTATTGAGGCATTCCACAACTAGGTATTAACAGAAAAAAAGTCATGAATTTTATCACTTTTATTTTATAATGACCACAAACTACAAACAATCCAAATGTCCATCAACAGGTGAGAATATAAACATATAAGAGAAGTTTCAGACCTTGCAGTACTAAATAGCTATAAACAGGAATGAATAAGCAATGCATGAAACAACATGAATCTCAAAATAATTATGAAAAGTTATGGCAAAACACAGAGTAGAGAGTGACATCAGCAAGATAACAAAATAGAATATCCCTATTTCCTTTGGGGTGCTTCTCTGACATTCTTCCTCACCCATGTGGTCAAGCAGTTATCTTCAAACTCTTCTGGTTGCTGTATCTATGTAGTTATCTCAAGCCCTATGACTAAGTCCCTGTTTCAGGGGAGCATTTTGGCAAATAAAATGGTAATTTTGTTTTTAGAAGACAAGTTCAAAGGTCTGGGCTATAAAAAGTCCCTTGCTGAATTGGCTGAGAGAGTCCTCATCTGTTCTTACTGGTCGTTGCTTTGATTGCAGTGCTACAGTGATGAGAGTGCACCCAGGCATCTTTTATCCCATGTATCCCTAATACTGGTAGCTAGGGAACCCTTCCACAGGGTCTAGTCATTGCTCTGTAAGGCTCACTGGGCCTTCTAACTGGTACCTTCTCTTGTTGCTATTAGATATAGTCACATTGTAAAATCCTGTGCTAATCTTAAACCATCTATGATGAGTGAAAAGTCTTACATGAATGGAAGTATTTTTCTTTACCCACAGTCAGGCCTTTCACCAATCCTCTCTGCTGGGTGGCACTGTTTGGAAGCAGGGCTGGGGACAATGTCAAACATCAGCCCTGTGCTAGTATAAACCTTGCTGAAGTTAGGAAAGAGCAAAATAGTGAATGAATTCCTAGTCTAGGGCAAAAAGGCAATGACTGGAGTCCGCAAACGGCAGAGTGTGTCTTAAATTTCTTCAACCCTAATCCCATCATCGAGCATAGTCTTGTGGAAATTCTTGTGCCATATAATAAATAAAACACCAATCCAGTGGTCTATGTGGAAGACAGAAAAACTGTCTGTGACTGAGCTAGACCTGCCACTGTGTCCCTTTGCAGGGAAAGCACTGCTCACAGGAGTGGGCATTGTGGCAGAACACTCCTGCACCCTTACCTATGCACAGAGAATTCTCTAAACCATCAACAGCTGCCACACATGTCTGGAAATGTCCCACCTCCACCAGTACCCCTGTAGTGGGCCAATAGGAGTAGCTGCACTCCACAGAATTGCTGCTATTTAACAGGACCTGCCACAAGCTTCTTTAGACTCTGCTCCTGGCCAAGAGACTTATCTCACCACTGAAATCATACTCAGACTGCAGTGAGAGGGAAATCAAGGTAAATCCCAAGCTCAGAGTTAAACTGGAAGTGAACTTAACAAGAGAACTGCAAACAGAAATCTGAGGACCACAAATTGAAGAAGAACAAGTGCTGCCCAGCTGCAGTCCAGCTGGTAGTACTCTCCCTCAGCAAGAAAGAAGACTAACTTTTTGTTGTTGCTGTTTTTTACTCATTTCTACTGATATTTTCTTATTTTCTAGTCTTAATTTTTCTATATTTTTTTCATACTCTAACTGGTTTGTCTTTCTCTATGATAATTACAATAAGTACAATAATGTATACATTCCTATGCAACATTATTTCATATACCTTTATCCCATATACTTCCCCCATCTGCATTTCCTTCTTTCTTTTTATTTCCCTCACCTCACTTTTTTTTATGAAATAACATTAAATTCCTGTACTTATAATAACTTAAGGTCACTAGCATGTCCTGTAAGAACTCTAGTTACATTCACATAGAACCTAATTAGTGTTGTAAAAAATGCTTCTAATTATTTTTACTTCATTTAAATATCTGAGTTGGTTTTGAATTAGGAAATTTTTTTATTGCTGAACTTCCAACCAATGACTAGTTTCAAATGCACAAATCCCAATGCAGAAATAAGTGAGATGGAAAAACAAGACAATTCCACAGTGAAATACTTGAATGACAATGAAGTGGATGAAATATCAAAGAATCTCACAGAATTATAGGAAGAATGTTTAATGAAATTAGAGGGCACAGATATTCACTCAAGTGAATTTCAAGAGATTACAAATATACACTGATCAAAACAAAGAAGACAATGCAAGATATAAAAAAGAAATAAAGATAAGGAAAATCTGAAAAATATCAAGTAAATTGCTGGAAATGAAAAATTATCCATGACCCAAAAGAAAAAAAAAAGAGTTTAAAAACCTCACTAATAGACTGGATCAAGTGGAAAAATAGAATATGAGGGCTTGAAGATAAGATAGATGAGTAAGAACATTTAGATAAGAATAAGGAAAAAATAATGGAGTACAAATGCAACATGTAAGATATCTCAGACATCGAAAAAGACCAAACCCATGAATCATGGATATAGAAGGAGATAAGGTACAAGCTAACAGCAATGACAATATATTCAATAAAATAATAGCAGAAAACCTCCAGAATATTGAGAAAAAAGATCATCATCCAGGTACAGTATGCCTTTAAGTCAACAAACAGACAAGAACAGAAAAGAATTTTCTCATTCTTATTATAATGAAAATATTAAGCATATAGAATAAGAAAGAATACTGAAAGTCACAGAGAGAAGCACCAAATTACATGCTAAGACAAACCCATCAGAATAACAGAAAATTTCTTAACAGAAACTCTAAAAGTCAGTATGGCACCGAATGATATATTCCAAACCCTGAAAGAAAATAAATGTTAAATAAAATTGCTGTATCCAACAAAGCTACTCATTATAGTTGAAGTAGAAATAAACCTTCAATTGTAAGCATAACTAAATGAATTAATGACCAGTAAGCCAACAGTGCAGAAGATACTTAATGGAACCCTACAAAGCAAAGAAGAACATAAATGCAACCATGAAAACATGAGGGAGAAAAAAATCTCACTAGAAGAATACTTCAGCAAATGAGTATAGAACAAATCCAAAAACAAATGATGTGTATTACTCTATACATTTCAACAATAACTCTGAATGTGAATTGTTTCAAGTCTTCAATCAAACCACAAAGACTGACATGTTGGATTAAAAAATAAGATCTGATCAGTTTTTTCCTATGAGAAACATATCTAACTAGCAAAAAAGAACACAGGTTTAATGAGAAAGGAGAGAAAAGTATTACAAGAAAATGGAGCCTGAAAGCAAGTAGGAGTAGTTAGACTCCCATCTCCTGCTGCCAATTTCTGGCCCCAACCAGCACGGAGCAGCAGCAGAAGCAGGCGAGGAAGAAGATGGCCTGATGGCTGCCAGCCTATGTGGTGAACTGTGGCATGGGATACACAAAACTAGGATATGTTGGAAATACAGATCCACAGTTTATCATCCCATCTTGTATTGCTATTAAGGAGTCAGCAAAATTAGGTAATTAAGCTCAAAGGAGGGTGATGAAAGGTGTTGATGACCTAGACTTCTTCATTGGTGATGAAGCAATAGAAAAACCTACATATGCGTCAAAGTGGCCAATCTGCCATGGTATAGTTGAAGATTGGGACTTGATGGAAAGGTTTATGGAGCAAGTGATCTTTAAGGGCAGAACCTGTAAAGTGATCTTTAAATATTTAAGGGCAAAACCTGAAGACCATTATTTTCTTTTGACTGAACCTCCACTGAATACTCCAGAAAACAGGGACTCTACTGCTGAAATAATGTTTGAGTCTTTCAATGTTCCCAGCTTGCATATTGCTGTGCACACTGTTCTTGGCTTAGCTGCATCCTGGACCTCAAGACAAGTAGGGGAACGGTCGTTGACTGGTACAGTAATAGACAGAGGAGATGGTGTCACTCGTGTCATTCCTGTGGCTGAAGGGTGTGTGATTGGCAGCTGTATTAAACACATTCCAATTGCAGGACGAGATATAACATATTTTATTCAGCTACTGCTGAGAGACCGAGAAGTAGGAATCCTTCCAGGACAATCCCTGGAAACTGCTAATGCAGTAAAGGCATGCTATAGTTACGTCTGCCCAGATTTAGTAAAAGAATTTAAAAAGTATGACACTAATGAGTCAAAGTGGATCAAACAGTACACTGGAATCAATGCTATCTCAAAGAAAGAATTTTCCATTGATGTTCGTTATGAGAGATTCTTGGGACCTGAAATCTTTTTTCATCCAGAGTTTGCTAATTCAGACTTTACACAACCCATCTCAGAAGTTGTAGATGAAGTAGTTCAGAACTATCCTACTGATGTCAGACGTCCTCTCTATAAGAATATTGTCCTCTCTGGAGGTTCAACCATGTTCAGGGACTTTGGACTTCTTTTGGAAAGAGATTTGAAAACAACTGTCGATGCCAGGCCTCCATAGGAACTAATACAGAAACCTTAAAATGACAGGTTATCAAGAGCAGGAGATCCATCAGTCAGAGTTACATCAACATGGGTGGTAACACATGAGTACATGAAAGCAATAGTAGGAATCTTTCTGTATAGCTATCCTTAACTAGCAAAAATGCTTTGTCTTTCTTATTATGCGTATGTCCTTTCTTCAACAAAATCAGTGATAAGGGCAGAACAGGACCTGCCTGAAACTGAGGATGAGAGGGGGAGAAGGGTGAGGGAGGGGATAGGGTGGAGAAATGACCCAAACAATGTATGCACATGTAAATAAATAAACAAAAAAACAACAAAAAAGTTAAGTGAGGAATTGAGTGGCAGTAGATTGAAGCCAAAACCTATTGATGTACAAGTTATTACACACAGTATGCAACGATATGCAGTTTGGCTTGGAGAATCCATGCTGTCTTCCATACCTGAGTTCTACCAAGAATGCCACACCAAAAAGGATTATGAAGAAATTGGACCTACCATTTGTCATCACAACCCAGTGTTCAGAGTCATGACATATAATTGACTTCATACTTATTGGGGTTAGGGAGATGGAAAAGAAATAATCTTCCTGATTACCTGTTTTGTCTGGATGGCTGGTTTTAAGGTTTTTAAACCTGACTTGAATAGTAAGACCAAACATGATTATACAGGAATATTTTAATAAATGTGTCAATGTGCAGATGTAGAAGAGAACCAAAATGATTGTGTTTTTATTTAGATTGAATATTTAAATCTTATGTACAATAAAAAGAAGTGGGTTTTAGTTCTTTCTGTGCCCCGATATTTTGTATATTATTGAATTATCCAAGATTTGATGGGATTTATCAGTATGTAGATAGCTCAATAATGTTTGAATTGTACACTTCCAAGTGTGCAATGCAAGAGCTTGTTTATATTTCATACTTTTTATACTTCAAGGAAAAAATGTCAAAGAGAAACTGTAGTATTTGAGGAAAAAATGTGACCAAGTAAAGAATAAATTTTAAAAGTAGTCTCATGAGACTTGGCATACATACTCATGGGATTCCAGTTTTTATGAACTGCTTCCATTCCCCTCTCCCTTACTGTCCACAAGTGGTTTTCTTTGCGAGTGCTTTGGAACTAAGAAGCTAGTGTCTTGGATTAACTGATGCCTGCTAGTGCTTTCTGATTACTCGCATTCTATTTCTTGCTTTAAAAGAAAAGTAAAGATAAGTCTGTTGGAGCAGTGTTGCATTTCGGTAGTGCATTTCTTATTTAAAAAACAAATAATAATTTGATTACCAAAATTGGTATAATTAAAGCCTAACACCATTCTAATAAAGGCATAAATTTCTTTAAAAAAAAGTAATTCTGAAGAGAAAGGCAGAGATGAATTCTAAATTTTAATAGGAAGAGAGATGCCTAGACACTAGGAATCTAGTCATCATTTTACAGTACACTACATAAATAAGTACACAAGTGCCTCATTTCCTTTCACAGCTTTAAATCTTTATAAAAATCACTTTATCTAACACTGGCTCATGAATTTTGCAATAAGTTTAAGTGAAATTATTTGTTTTTTACATTAACTGATGATATAGACAATATTCTTGTGAAAAAGAGAAAGTAGAAATGATAAAAGAAAGGGAAGAAGAAGGGAGGGAGATAGAAAGAAAAGAAGACAGGCAGGAATAAATGAAGGGATGATGGAAGGAAAGAAGAAACATAGAGAGGGTAAGAAAGGAATAAATAATATATTAATAAATAAATTTGTCTTGTTCTTCATACTCTAAAGTAGTGCCTAATTAATAACAATTTTGTGATAAATTAATTCTTCTAGAACAAATCAATTTCTCATGGAAATCAAAGAGCAATTTGTACATGTCATTTACTTTTATGCATGCCAGTGCTTTAACAGCAGTGTTGGTAATAAAATAGTGAGAGAAGCACTGATCTATTAGATATTTGATTATTTCCTAAATATTTTGTTCATAAAAAGTTTTCAGTAGTTTGAATAAAAAAGAATTATAAATAATAGAAGACACTGCCATTGTTAAGCCATCATTGGAAAATCAATATAAATTATGTAATTTAATAAATGTTAAAGATAGAATCTTAAATTGGTGGAGAATATTTATTTAAGGACACATAGCAAAATTTTTATTTGAAGTAAATTGTATTTCTTCCTTAATTTCATAGATGAGAGAGGTGATGGTTCACCTTGGCTTTACTTTTTCTGATGAATCATTTTAATTTTGTATTTTTCTACTGGGTGTGAATAGATATAAAAGCAGTTGAGGTGAAATATTTTTAGACCCCTAAAAAGCCACAAACTGCTTAGTGTGATTCTTCCTGAATGGACTTAATGAACTAAGTCCATTTTTTTCCTCAAGCATCAGTCTCAATGTTATGTTCTAAAAGCATAAAGAGAGCTATCACAAGTTTAAAAAGGAAAAAAAAATTCTGTAGAAATTGTATTTTTACTACTGACCATAAAATAAAATTTTTATTTAATTATAGATATTTGCATATCTATACATGAAATATGTTAGTGTTTAATGAGCACTCCTTGGTTCTCTATTTCCTAGACAATATTTCTTGTACTTATGGATTGAGGCTGCCTTATCACAGGATGCAACTTTTACATTTAGGAAGTACACTGGCATTTACCCCAATTCTAAAAAGAGACACCATTTTACATTTCTGCATGCAAAGTATTCTATTACTGAATCTAAAGGGAAATTAAAGTCCCTTTAAACACTGGAGCTGTTTGAAATGATAACCCAGAGAAAAGATACCAACAAACAGAACACTATAATCTCTCAGGAACACAAAACTTTTGCAAACAATTGAGAAAGTGAAACCATGAAAAACTGGATTATGGAAAATCACTTGGTGGAAAATTACCGAACCCTAGGGGAAAGGAACTCTACATGTTTATGACCTCTCACAGAAATCTTTTAAAATTCCACTTGGAAATCAAAGAACAAACTTTCTATTTTTTCATTTCCCTGAGATCTTGTTGAAGAAAGCACTTGATAAGCAGTAGAAACATGTCAACATAAACTGCCAGAAATGCTCTTCCTCTTTCTCTTAAAGGAAGAAGAAAGAGTGGGATACAAAAATATCACATTTTGTCCACCACTGAATAAAACTAAGTTTAAGATACCTTCACAAAAACTTTTCTCATTTTTGCATTTTCTGAGAATTTCAAATTGTGACATAGTCCTTAACTGTGCATTTGTTGTGGTCAGGCTGCCAAGTTCAACTAGAAGAATGGGTCTATGAATAATAACTGTATACATAGGTGAGCTTCAGAAATTTCTGGCTTCTAACATCCTCGGCTCTATTGAGGTTAGAATATTATCACTCTCAAAGTATCTTTAAACAAATAAAAGTTTCCTTGTGGAGCCCATAATACACATGTAAAAATGCCAAATAACGCCTATTGTAAGAGAATGTAAATCATTTTTGTTGCTATTAGGGGTAGCTATTACTTTAAGTCTAATGAAGTTAGAGCTATATTCTGCTTTTTTTGTCAAGCAAGTACCAGTAATTTTGAAATGTATCAAATACATACATTTGTCTTAGTTCTTCAGTAACATTTTATTTATTGTTTGTAAAATATTCTCACCATGTATCTTCTCATATTCACTCCATCCTCATGTTTTAAATTCAACTGTAAGATATTATCAAGATGTATAAACATACAGTAGTGGCATGGTATATTCAAATGCTGCTGTACCATCTTAGTTATTGACAGAATATAAAATATACTTCTTCCACCCCCACATTGCCATATGTCACATGGTAGGAGATTAAAGGTAAGAAAGAGTGATCCATATCACAGAATGGAGTCTTCTAACTTTTTGTCCTTTTAAATCTTTCACTGTGAATGTCGTATCATATATAAAATTACTTTCCTGATTTAGTCAAAGAATTTTAAAAGACTGAAATTCTGAAATACTTGTTTGTAGTTCAGGGTTTGTCTTCTAAAATGAGCTAAATAATTAAAAGAGCAGAAAAAGAGAAGACTGAAGCATTCATCTGTAAATATAAATGTGGAAAGAAAAAGTAATGTTTAATCTATTTTTAAATTACAGAAATAGGAGACATTTTCATTATTAGAAATGATATCTTCACCATTGTGCTTTGTACAAGTTTATCGACCTTAATTCACTTTTAGAATAGATTTTTAGCTTTGAATTTACGAGTAAAAAAAAATAAGCAGGTTCATGATTTAAATTCTCATTAGGAAAATGTACACTACAGTTTTAGGAATGGGCATAATTTAAAAATAACATGATTTTCAATAACAAATACATTATTCTTATGATTGTTTCAGTTTGTCTACCTCACTGTGTAGACACTTTTAAAAATTATAATGATATCACTATTTGACACTTTTAATTTATTATTTGCAATGCATGCTCATAACAGCTTTATTGGCTATCATGAGTCCAGGAGCTTGAACAAATGTTATTATCTCTATGTGATAGGACAGGAACCTTAGGCTGATTGGCTTGTTAATGACACAGGGCAGGTAAACCAGGATTTGGAGTTTTTTTATAGCAAACTCTGGACATGCTTTTCTGTTTAACTTTTTATTCTGAGCTAATTTTAGATTAATAAAAAGTCACCACCCTTCATACAGTTACCTTTGATGTTATCATCTAATAATACCATAAGATTACTTTTCAAAACTATTTAGTAAGCATTGATAATTTTCTAACCAAAACAGCTGATTTTAATCATATAGTCCCACATTTTTCACTGTTCCATATGTCATCTGGGCTTCCAATATAGAATAACACATAGTATTATGAAGAGTTACTCTTCACATGACTTAATATATTAAAGCTTGTCACCACAAACCACAAGGATACTGTGCCACTCATCATCAAAGATTTAAAACTAATTTTGGAAATTCTTTTTATCTGGAAATAGAGTTCTTAATAATTAAAGATCTTTTAATTCTAAAATGGTTTTAATCTTTTAATTTTCCAGGTAAAGAAAGTGCTAAGGTTAAGAATTATTTAATTATTAAGTTGATATAGAATCCTGGTCTTTATCTCCATATTCAATCATTTCTTTTTTTTACAATGAAGCTATTCGAAATAATAGTGCATGGAGTTAAAGGATCTGAGGTCACAAAAATTTAAGGGATAATTAAAGACATTTCAAAATGTACATTTAAAAAATATCATGTCCTTGTGGTGATCAAACAAGTATTTTGCATTTATAAATAAGTAAAAACATGAGTGAAAGCATTTATGGGTACTTGTTTTCCCCACTCATCAATAACTTCCGGCATTTCTTACTGCATAAACGTTTTTTGTCTGTTTCCTTACCAGATTCTCACAAGAACCCTATGGATAGAAACTCATATTATACCCATTAACCTAAGGCTCTGTCTACTCTAAGCATTTTAATTAAACCGCTATGCTAGAAATAATAGAAGAGCCTGTTATTAAGCCCAGGTTCGTATGAGGATAGAGCTGATGTTCTTATTCAATTTCTTTTATTATCTTTCTTGCTTTGGAAAATAAGCTGACCATTACT